CCAACAGCGATGATGGTGTTAGCCTACAGTGATAGTTGTGTAACCAACAGTGATGATGATGATGTTCAATTTCAATGATGGTTGTGCTAGCCAACAGTGATGGTGGTGCTAGCCAAAAGCAATGGTGATATTAGCCAACAGTGAATACTTTTACCTTTTTACTTTTATCCCTTTTGCTACTGATTGGCTCATTAGCTGCTTGGGCGGTCGGTCACATTTATTTTCCACACTGTTGCCAAGTACTGGGCATGAACTGTCTCCTGAATATATAGGAACCTGCTCCAGTGTTGGTCAAGTCTGGTCTTGAATGAGCTCCCACTCGGTGCTGTCACAATGCTGGCAGATTGTTCCAAGAGCTCATTATTCTCATTCCGAAAAAGTTTGCCCTCACTGTTTTTTGGACTTGTAGCTTCTTTAACCTTGAGCTGTGACCCCTTGTGGGGCAGGCATCCTCCATCTCCAGGTATTTACATTTGACCAAGTAGTGCCCTCTGAGGTGTTTATACACTTCGATTAGGTCGCCCCTTGCCTTTCTGCAGTATATGAGTAAGCTAGGAAGTTGCAGGCGTTCTAATATCTCTGGGTAACTGAGGTTCCGTAGAGCAGGCACCAGTCTGGCAGCCCTCCTTTGGATATTTTCAATCAATTGACAATCTCTAGCGTACCCTGGGGACCAGATGGGGAAGCACCTCACACTTGAAGATTGTGATGAGCGATGGATCATCCAGATATCTAAATGACCTTCTTATAAGACCTACTAGATTAGTTGCCTAATTCACCTTATTCTGCAATGGCTCAAGAACTTAATTTCCTTGTTGACATACACACCAAGGTCTTTTTCACATACGGTCTCAATTAATGCAGTTTCTTAGTTCTGTTGGGACACGTGATACACCTCCTTACTGTTGATGCAACCCAGGTGCATCCTCTTGCTGATCTCAGTGATGGTAGTGTTGACCCCACAATGATAGAGGTACTAGCCTACAGTGATGATGGTGTTAACCAACAGTGGCGATAATGCTAGTCTATTTAGGACTGGTTGGTCAAATTTTGTGATTTCATCTCGATGTAGTGTAGCGGTCTGGGAGCTATCCCAGTGTGAGCATCACAATGCTAATAATAATGATAATGATAAATGGTTTATTGAACAAGTTCTGCAGCCCAAAGGCTGAAAATATACATTGGACATAAATGACTTATTACATACATTGGTGGTTTAACAAAAGCCTTCATTAGAGAAAGGTGCAGGAACATACAGTGAACAAACAGATTAATGTTTACAGCGGAGGTCACGTAGATCATGTGAGCTGAGGTGTTGAACAGCAGACATGTAGTGTAGTAACTCCCTCACAGATGGCGTTATGAGGGGCATCACGTGGAGTAGTAGTTCCCTCACAGGTGGTGTTATGAAGGGCTTGACGTGGTGTAGTAATTCCCTCACAGATGGTGTTATGAGGGGCCTGATGATGTAGTAATTCCCTCACAGATGGTGTTATGAGGGGCCTGATGTGGTGTAGTAATTCCCTCACAGATGGTGTTTGAGGGGCCTGATGTGGTGTAATAATTCCCTCACAGATGGTGTTATAAGGGGCATCACATGGCGTAGTAATTCCCTCACGGATGGTGTTATGAGGAACCTCACATGATGCTGTAGCAACTCATTCACTACGGGGTGTCATCGCATCATGGGGACACCACGTGGTCTGTTGTCACAGCAGATTGTCTTTGATAATGTGATAGGACTTTTAACCACATAGACATAATTTGTAAAGAGGTTAGTAACATATATAGAGTGACTTTTTTTTCGATACACGATAAATTAATGGTTTGGAGAATGTATCACGTTGAAAGATGCTTGAGGGTACAAAGGATGTAAGACATGCAAAAGGGTCATTATGTTTGCACTGGGATGGGATTTTCAAGATCAGAAAATGTAAAACAATTCTGCATTGGCGTCACAGGAAAAATAATGAAGTAGATTAACAACTGGCAACAAAGAGTGGTCATAAAGAATTAAGTACAGTACTGTACATAAAAAATGGACAAATCTTTTCAGTAGAGAACCGAAAGGAACTACAGATATTCTTCAATCTTCCTAGTTTGTCCTCTACATTAACAGTACAAATGAAATTATATCGAGCCACATTGTCAAGTTTATGTACAAGTTCTTATGAAAGTGTCTTTCTATCACCACAAATTATTGTAGTAACCTGGGAAGTTGTGGAGCTCCTAAGTGGCAGGTTCTTGATGTAAACACTTCTTGGCCTTTTCTGTATTTATTGTTTGTACCTTATATACATAGGTAATGTCTGAGAGAATTATGGAGTGAATTCTCTCCAGGAAAGTACTGTGAGCAACACTTGAAGGCAACTCTCAGTTGAGTGAGTTCCCTGTCCAGAAATGGTGTGTTGTCTCACTCACCTTGGGATGCTAGGAGCTGGTCCCTCCTTTGGATGTTTTCAATCAACTGACAGTCTCTAGCATATCTCACAAACCGTATGGGGTGATGGTACTCCAAACAGGGAAGCATCTCACTTGGAAAGTGCCCTTCTTATAAGACCCACTACCTTATTTGCTTGATTTGCCTTCTCACAATGGTCTGAGAACTTCAGTTCATTGTCAACATATACACCAAGTTCATTTTCATACTTGGACTCAGTTAAAAATGTTTCTTTGTCCTGATGAGACATGTGATATTGCCTCCTTACTGTTGGTATGATCTAGATACATCCTTTTGCATTTTGTGGTATTGAATCTCAACAACCATTCCTTTTACCACTCCTGAAACTGATAAAGATCTTCCTGTAGTGTTTCACAGTCAGATTGCTTCTTAATTTCCCTGAAAAGCTAGCAATGTCTGCAAATCTTTGTACTGTATCGAGAAGTGTATACCGGGTAGCTTCTGGCATATCAGGTGCATAACAAACAATAAACCCAGTACAGTACACTGCTATGTGGTACCCTTCTTGCCATGGGTTCATATGACAATTTTGTGCCATTAATCACAACACACTGCTTGTAGTCATGAAGAAAGTCTGTGATCCATGTTCCATTCCCTTCCAGCTTAATTTTCACCATATTGTACCTTTGTGGGCTTTAAATTTTTGTTGTCATAGCACCACAAATAAATTAACTGGGTTTATGCCTTCTGTCTCTTTCAATGTTTTGAACTTTTTTGTGAGATCCACCCTCTTGTGACTTCTCTGAAGAGATGTCAGTCATAAAGTACTCAGTCTACTTGGATAGATAATTGAGAAGTTATACTGTACTGTAGCTATAAATAATCTTAGTCACTCTGCATTGTACCTTTTCTAGGGATGTTTTGTGTTTCTGGAGGTATGGTCTCCATGTCTGTATATAGTACTTCAGTTGGGGATATACAAGAGACTTAGTTATGAAGGGGCATTTTTGTAATACATTGTTATTTGTATTTAAAGTATGACTTATAATTCCTAAATTGCCGTATGATTAACTTCTTTCACTGTTGCTCCCACTTGTTGCATTGTCTCCAGTGATTGGTCTAACACAATGCTGAGATCTTTGGCTTATTAGCAGTTTTAAGGAAGTGTATTCACAGAATATAATAAATGTGGTTTGTTTTTTCTGTCCCACTTGTAGTCCTACATTTTTTAATGCTAAAAAGCATTTACCTACACCTATGACCATCAGAACAGCTCGTGCGAATCTTTTTGCCTGGATGCGACATCGGCTTGACTTGCCGCCTTTCCATATACTGTACCGTAGTATTTTTGTGTCCTCCACAAATTGGATGCAGAATATGGGTTGATATATTTTCATCAATGTCATCAATTTAGATTACAAGCAGGGTGCACTGCTGAGAACGTTTTCCTCTTCAGAAGTACCACTCCAGTGACAGATTTAGGCCTCTGGGGGCCCTGTGCTGTTCAGAAGTGCGGTGGGCCCTGAGCCCCACACTACTTAATTTTAGTAACATGCCCACATGTAAAACACCCTAAAAAAAAATTCTTGATTACTCTAAATCAGGGGTCACCAAACTATGGCCCGCGGGCCGGATCCGGCCCGCGACGTCAGTTCATCAGGCCCGCCGTGGTAACTCCGCCTACGCTCTGACGTTACCATGGTTTCCATGGCTTTCGTTCTGGCTTGCAAGTATTGAACAGAATGATTATGCGGCCCGCGCTCGTCATTCTTTCAGTTATCCGGCCCACTGTGAAAAAAGTTTGGTGACCCCTGCTCTAAATCAAGAGTAAGGGAAATTTATTTTTATCTTAAACGTCTGAGTAAGCAGCGGCATATCCTATTTTATATACTTCCCCCCTCCCCTCATAAGGTTGCCAACTGCAGTACATGCAACTATGGAAAAACTAACTTGCCAGTGACATAATAAAAATAAACTTAAAGAAGTTCAATTTTTATAGTTTCATTTCCATATATAAAATTTGGTGCCATGAAAATGTGGGAGGCCCTGTTCGGTCGCTCACTCTGAACAGTCCTATATCTGGCACTGTACCACTCCATTTATGACCATATTTTCTTGCCTGTCTTAGAGCCATTGCTTCATCCACTTCAATATTTTGCCTGTGATGTCACATACTTGGATCTCAGAGTTTATCCATGCATGCAGAGCTTTGTCAAGTGCCTTAGAAAATCCATGCTCAGCACATCCACTGGTAAACCTTGATCTTCTTTATCTGTTACCATTTAAGGGAAAGTAAGTTTGTCAGACAAGGTTTTCTCTCTATGAAACCAGGTTATGATGCAATGATAGACTGTTTGGGTAGGTGTTGGATGATTGCTTCCTTCAAAATTTTCCCAGAGTTGGCATGTACTGTACTGTATTGTATGAGATTTTAGGCTGATCAACCTGTAGTTTTCTGCTGCACTTTTTCTGCTCTTGTATATTGCGGTGACATAAACCAATTTCCGGTGCCTAGGTACTAGGTGCTGTGTGTGTGCATGAATATGCACACATACATTGTTTGGCACAATAATTATGGTATATGTTTATTGTGTTGCAGATTGCAGAGCTCAGAGAGATCGAGATAACATCCGTCGGATGGAGGTGGTGTCGGGGGGAAACATCACACTCACCTGCTCTGCTCAGCCAGGTCACCTGCGTGCTGTGAGTTGACCACCACAGTACACTGTACTGTACATGAAGACTATGAACTGTATTGTGATTCCATCATTGTTTCTGTTATGAACAAATGAATCATATTGTAAAGCTATACATTACAGTACCGGGTATTATAAAAATAACTTGTTACAATAAGAGAAACAATTATTGGATTATGGCCGAAAAGATGATCAAAAGGAGGAACTGTAGAGTATTTCTTCAATACTGTATGATGAATTATGTAAGTTTTAGTTTTAGTGGACTAATGCATGAAAGTGTGAGAAATAATACCATTGTTCCAGTTATGAGTGGTGTAAAATTAACTTGAGTTGTACAAAAATTTCTTATTTTTTTACAGTTTGAAGTAGAAGAATATAAAAAAAATCTAATTTTTGCTACAGTTAACTTTTATTGTGATTTGTAGTCCTACAGGCCTTTGGTTCATGGCCCTTACTCCATAGGCTGTTTCAAACTTGGGACTGCATATGAAAGTTCTGATCATATTGTTTTGACTACTTAACAACCCCCTAGTTTTATAGAATGAGTCATCTGAAATTAAATTCTAAAACGAGAAGAGTTGTACGGTTGTACCTGTATCAAAACAGTCAGGAGTGAATGATGTGCGCATACGGCTCAATAAGTTTTGCTAAGCAGACAGTTTACTGAAATCGTACTGCTACCACTAATCCCTCCCTGGCTGCTGTACTGTATTTGCTTACTCATTTCTTTTTCCTCAGAGAATGAGTGTGAAAACCATATATGAATAGACCACATGAATCGACCAAACCTAACCAATGATGAAATGATCTTTGGTTGCTTTTGATAACTTAAATTCAGATGGTTCATGTGGCCTGTAAGGAAAAGTGGATGAGATAAACTGCTCATATCCCCAGACAAGTGACCTTTGTTGCTTATTGACACAATAAGTCTCCTCTTCCAAATCTCATCATCATCATCAATGTTTTACAGCCATTATCCATGCCCACATGGGTTAGCTGTAATTACCTAATGGCAGTTCTCTGTGCTGCATGGTCCCTTGTAGACTCTTGCCAGATTCCTAACTCTAATGTCAAGTCTTATGACCTCTCCCCAGGCCATTCTTGGCCTACTTCTGGCTCTCCTCCACATTTAGGCTCCTGCACCTCTTGACCCAATTAGTCTCATCATTCTCTCCACATGCCCAAACCATCTCATCCTGCCTCCACACAACTTCGCCAATATTCTCACCACTCAGCCATCCTCTTAGCTCTGAACAAGACCTTTTGCTTTTTAGTGTTGCATTGCACAACTGTTATGCCATTATTATTTCAGCTCACTAAAGTCTACTTACGTCATCCTCTTTAACTGCCCATGTTTCACTGTGTGCTATACAGTATAACATTACACTTCTCACACCAGCAACATACATTCTTCCTTTCAATGAGAGGGAAGGTCCTCTTGCCACCAATACAGGCAGCACTCCCTAAACTTCATCCATTTATTTCTGACTCTTGTGACTGAGCAGGCTCTAGGACTCCCACAGGCACTGTCATGTCACCAAGGTAACTGAACTCATTGACACAGTCCAGGGACCCCAATGTTTAGCTTCTCCAGCCTTGTTGTGGGCACATGGTTACCTGCACCTACAGGGCACTTAATAGTCAGCAACATACAGTAGTCTCCCATCTACTCCACTGCACCACTTGTGTACCCACCATCAACACTCATTGCTCATTAATGAATTAGTACTGCCAAAACCTTTCTTACAAACCAAGCCCAGTCCCAGGGGAGGATCTAAGGGACATATGCCCCCTGTAGGCACAGAGAAATGTGTCCTTGTAGTCCTGAAACATGGGTTCATATATAGGAGCCTGACAGTTTTATTTTACAGTTTACATAGCTTAGATGCCCAGGTATGTTGACAATGAGCTGAAGTTCTCGGGTCATTGCAAGAAGAAGGTAAATCAGGCAAATAATTTATTGGGTTTTATAAGAAGGTCGTTCAGATATCTTCAAGAGTGAAGTGCTTCCCCATCTGGAGTACTGTCACCCTGTCTGGTCCCCGAGATATGCTAGGGACTGTCAGTTGATTGAAAATGCTTAAAGGAGGGCCACCAGACTGGTGCCTGCACTTCAGCACCTCAACTACCCTGAGAGATTGGAGCACCTGAACTTGCCTAGCTTACAGTGTACTACAGACAGGCAAGAAGCGACCTAACTGAGGTGTAAAAGCATCTCAAGGGTCACTACTCAGTCAAGTGTCCTTACTTGGAGCTGGCGGACACTCGCCCCACAAGGGGTCACAGCTCAAGATTGAAGAAGCCGCAGGTCCAGAAAACTGTGAGGGCAAACTTTTTCGGAATGAGAGTTGAGAACTCTTGGAACAATCTACCAGAAAGTGTTGTGACGGCACTGAGTGTGAGCTCTTTCAAGACCAGACTTGACCAACACTGGAGCAGGTTCAGATACATTCAGGAGCTGGTGCATGCCCAGTACTTGCCAACAATGCGTAATAGAGACGTGACTGATCGCCCAAGCGACTAACGAGCCGATCAGTGGTGAAGAGGATACAAGTAAAAGTAAAGTGTATCATTGAAGATAGACAGTATCATTTACTGAATATCCTCAACTCAAATATGCACTTGCAAGGAACTGCACATTTAGTGGGGTAGGGGACATGTCAGCTTTAACACGTGTGGAATATGATGGATACCCTGATAGAAGTGTGCATTCTGTCCCAGTATTTTTCAGGTACAGGTATCCCCCTATTTATGATGGGAATAGGTTCTTGATAAACCTATTGCTGGGTGAAATATTGTAGATTGGGATCATTATGACATGGGGTTCAATGGGATACGTTCCCAGCCAGTCCAACACCCACATGTAGTACCGAAGAAAAAATCCTGCACTAATAATATACTGTACATAAAACAATTAAATAACACTCACCACATCATTAAGAACACTGCTCACTTCAGTCACAAAAACAGAGCGAACGAGGAAAGCATGAAAACAATGATAGCGGCCGGCACTTTACAGTCTAAAAGAAACACAGTAAAAATCACTTAACAGTCGCCAAAACAGAGTGCATATGTACCGGTAAATGTGTTGCAGTCAACATGTGCACCTCCACATGACCGCCTGGTGCACACAGTACCATGCTAAGTTCCATGATCGTGTAACTCGACGATTATCAGTCAATATCGGTGTTGTTACAGTTCTTATCATTTTTTTTTTACCTTACAGTGATAGGACATCACTAACATTCATATGTACTCATTTTTGGTGACTGTGAAGTGATTTTTGTTATGTTCTTGTGACTGTAATGTGCTTTGGCCAGACGATGCCCATTATTCATGAGGACTGGTTACAGCATCAATAGAGGGGGTGGTCTTAGTACAGCGCTATTGTTAAAGTGGAATATCATAAATAGGAAGATACCTGTACAGAAATACCTTACTATTCTCCAATCCTGCTGAACCGCAATTGATATTTTAACACCCCTATTTGATATTCACCAAAAAAAAAAAATGACAATACCCTACAGTAATATTTCAAACTGCGCGGACTAGCCGCAGCTCTCATATTCTGCTGTAAGGTCCCCTTTACACGAGCGTTTTTTTCTGCGTGTGAAGTCCCGCACAGTTTAGAAATGAATAAAGTTCAATGGGACCGTTTACACGGGGCACACGTGGGAGGCACTCGCCCCACTCCTGTAAATGTACAGTACTTCAAAACTGCAGCGTGAAAAAAAATTGCACCCAGTGTTCTAAAATTCTTTGTATGGCTATGGTAAATACTAGTTTAAATTTTTACATTCATGTACTCTACACTTGGTAACAGAAGTACTGGTACAGTATTCTTGAAATTCTTGTGCTAAACAAAATGACGCCATGAACGAAGGTTTTTGATAGACACATGAGGCATACTGTTATTCACCAATTATATTGCAACAAATTAATTTTCTATTTCTAATGAAGTAACTAAATTAGGCCTACCATAATAGGTAGAATGTCTCACAATTATGCGTACCAACCTTAGTGTGCCAACACGATTGTTCAGTTCATAATTTATCAGCCCCCCCTTCTTGATATATACAGTACTTTTTTTACCGAGTGCATACTAATGTTGTACACACACACATTCACACACATTCTCCCACTCACTCACTCGGTGTTCTTTTATAATATTTTTATGGTATTGAAGTTATTTTATTACATTACAGTATATGGAGTGTACCAGTGTATCGAAAAATAAGTTGCTATAAGATAAGAAATATGCAGAGTAGTGTTGTGTGTGTGAAGTGAACGTATGTATAGACTTGGCAAGTTAGATTGTCCCTGTGTCTGAGACTACATCCCCCTAGCTCTTACCTTACCAGGCCAAGCTTTGTTATTGTTATTTTCCAATTTATATTTTCGGGTAGATATGTATCTCCGTTATCCGGAACAATTGGTGCAGAGCACTTCCAGGAATGAGATATTTCCGGGTAACGAGACAACTCTCTCAAAGCCGGAAAAAATCCCTCATCCCTGGAGTTTTCTGGATAACGGGACAAATTTTCTCGGAAGTTCCAGAAATTACCCGTTACTGTACGTCATCTCTCGAACCCGGAAAAATATCCCTCATCCCCGGAATTTTCCGGGTAACGGAAAATTTTTCTCAGAATTTCCAGAAAATGCGCCTGATTTTCATTTCTCAAACCCGGGAAAGAAATATCCCCATCCCTTGAATTTTCTGGATATTGGGAAAATTTTCTCTAAATTTTCCGGAAAATGTGCCCCTCGGAAAATCGTTCCCAAAGCCAGAATTTTCAGCAAAATTACGGCTTCTGGGGACGATTTTCAGAGAAAATTTCAATTCCGGCTATCAGAGTTGTGTGGTTTGAGGGATTCCAGCTAATGGAGATATTACTGTACTGTACTTAATTAATTATTTTATTTTATTTTATTTTTTTATTTATTCCTCACATTTACTGGTACTCCTGTACTACTGTATACAGTACACACTCCCCTGGTCCCTAATAGCCTCTGATAATGGGGGATGTATATTGAAAATATAAAGTTGGCGGCTAGGAATGCACCCCTTCTCTCCTCCTTTACATTAATTCTTATGGGGAAAATTGCCCCCAATATTTGCAAAATTGTTATTCACAATGTCTTTTAGTAATACATCCTTTGATAGCTGGGGTATTCTTGTACAATAATCACCTTAATGCCCGTGACTGCTTGAAGGCTACATATTTAATATGTGCTCTCAGAGTTCTAGGCAAAAGTTAGTTGATTTTTGTATAATTCTTTGGGCTGCTTGACATGATGCTTTTGAGTAATTTGGTGACCTTTATATAGCTGTTGTCGAAACTATGCAAAATATTGCAGAAGATGGAGAATCGTGGAACTTGGGAATCAATTTCTAAAGGAAAATCATCGTTTCTTGCAATTATGCTATTTTAATATCTGATGCCATTTACTGTTTGTCACAATAGCCTTCATTACATAGTCTCTCGGTGTAAGCCTTCAAAGATTCACAATTGATATCTATACTGTATAGTGTCATCTGTGCTATCAAATTGTTGTGGTGACATTGGTCAAGTTGGTGATGCAGTACTGTACTTGGTAGGTACACAGAAGCTGTTGTCGTAGCTGAAATAATCAATGCCCCTAAACCAGCACTACCTCATATAAACAGAAGGCAAATTAATAGATACAACATACCAGCAGTTTTCCCCAAAGAATATGTCCATCACACCATCACAATTCCTTTTGTTGACCACTGCTCTGTGAACTCAAAACACGTTTCTTGTCAGCTCAACAACATGCTTTTCTGTGAATGATTCAGAATGTTGAAAAAAGGTTCTGAAATAGTTACAAAGAGTTGGTGGTCAGTGATATTCCATCACCAGAATGTCTTGAAATAAAATTGGAGTGCTGGCAGCAGGAATGGAATGCTTGGGAGTCTGACCTACCCAACTCCCTGACAATTATTCCTGCAAACCTCGCCTTTATTTTATCCAAACATATATACAGTACTGTACCTGTATTACAGTATGCTCCAAGTCAATGCAACCTTACCAGTCACTTCACGTCAATGCAAGCATTCCTTCAGTTGCTGAGGAATCCCAAAAGTAACCTGCGCTCTACAATGAAACAAGACAAATTAAATGGTCTTGCTTGTTGAATGTTTATAGAAACATAAATAAAGTGATCGCTAACTTTGCTCAAGCTTATCCAAGGTGGATAAAATTAATAGCTATTTTTGATGATAAAACTGTCAGCAAGTACAGTATATGATTGCTTCATATTAGCTATGTAAATTAATCCTAGATAAAGATTATTGCATTGCTTTGATTTTGTGTAAAATTTGGTAACTACGGGAATCTCGACTTATTGTGTTAAATATTGTAGTGTACTGTACAAGTATTGTGGTTACATTGACTTACTGCATTAAGTTTTAATTATTTGATTTATTTGTTATTGTGTTTTGGAGTATTATTGTAATGATGAGTTTGCAACATGTACAGCATTAATATATTCCTTAATTATTATTAAAAGAACAGCTCGTTTTTTCTGTACTGTATTAAAGTATTATCCTATCCTATTAAACATTAATTAAAAGTTAATGTATACAGTATACTTACTGGATGGTATAACATGGCATTTTTCCACTTTCCACCACGGTTACCTCATCCATACCTTTTATCAATACTTGTGTTTTTGCTACATTCACTCTCAGCCCCTTTGACTTTATTCCATCCTTCCATTTCTTAAATTTCTCCATTGCCTCTTCAATACTATCTGTTATCATCATTAAGTCAACAGCATGCTTCTATTCCTAATTGGAGCATATAAAACCATGTCGTTTGCCATGTTGTTATTACAGTAGTACAGTATTTACGTATATCTTTGCATTATGTGGCAAATAAGCTGGCAGACTTAAAGGGAGGCATGAGTTGACAAGCTGTGAAAGAGGAATTTACTCACATATGTCCTATTCTTGCATTATATATTTTTAATGCATTTGTATTTCTTATTTATTAATATTTTCAGTATCGATGGGTGTACATACGCACTGGAACAAAACGACCACAGGTGCTCAGCTCTGGACGTCGACTAGTGGTTGGAGAGCCAAGAATTGCTCTAGATTCAAAGGTAGATTAGAGAGTTGGGGGGAAGAGTTTCCTTTATCTATTTAGTTAAGAATGTCTTACAGTATCATAAACTTGACAAGTGACTAAAGTTGATTTGAATATTTCTTGGCATTAAATGATGTGAATGGTTTTGACTTGCAGTTAAATATTGTAACGAAGTGTAATACCTCTCCATTTAACACCATTTTACTGTACAAAATTTCCTACTAACACAATTTGTTTTACAACAGTTGAGAGCTAGTCCCAGAGAAGCCAGCTGCTTAATGTCACATGTGGTATTCCTCCGGGGGCAGTATATGTAACAGTGTTTATCCCATTAAATCTCTCATTCCTTCATAATCACGAGTGAAAACACATACTGTTAGGGAGAGCAGTTTCTCTACAACCATGAGAAAATCAGTTTTGTTAGAAGTGAAATTGAACATTACTAAAAGATTAGAAGAGGGACATCATGCACACTCTTGACTTCAATGAAAATATGCAGAATAAATTCATGTTAATGCAGACAAAATAAAGTCTAGCTCTAAGAATGCTACTCCATTAACTGCAATGAAAGTTAGTTATTCATGGTTATTGATTATGGAATTGATGGAAAAGGTGATAAAGTCGTTGCTTGAACACCAAACACAACCAAACGTTCTTTTTGTTAAGTTTACAAGTACAGTACAGTACTGTACTGTACTGCAATGCAGAATTTAGCTTTACGTCTGTTTAGTTTTTGTTGTACAGGTCCGCAATTCTGAAAACCGAAAAAAATTTTGTGGAGCATCACTCGTGTGCACGACATAAACATCTTGACTGAGTTGGGTTTCTTTAATCACTAATGTTTCAGAAAAATCGTTTTCCATCAGAGCCTAGAAAACCCAAAAAGTTTTGAAAAAGTTTTAAAAATACAGGTGATATACAATAAAAACGTAACATTATACGAAAATTTACCTTCCATAAAATTTAAAGAAAGAGCACTCCAAATTAAAACCGACAAAAATGACGAGAGACCTACGTACAAAGACAAAATCAGGAATAAAAATGTAAAATAAAAATATACATGGGGTATTACCTTAATTTAGATGAGCTTTAGTGCAAAAAACACAACAATTCACGGGAAGCCATATCACAAATGCATGGCTTTACTTTATACTGATGCAAGGCTTTATATATATATATATATATATATATATATATATATATATATATATATATACTGTATATATATATATATATATATATATATATATATATATATATATATATATATATATATATATATATATATATATATATATATATATATATATATATATATATATATATATATATATATACAGTTAACCCTCACTTTACGCGGTTAATGTAACCCGGAGGGTCCCGCGTAAAGTGAATAACATAACATATGGGATTAATTGAAATGGAGTCCGGGCCGATCCCCAAACTCCACTTTTTGACGACACACAACTATGTTGTAGTAAAAATATTATCTTAACTTTATGATGGTATGCACACACAATTAATAATTAAGAGAAATATCAATAATATTAGGTTTTTAACACTTACATTAGTAGAAAAAATGGCTGGGCACACGGGGATGGGCGGTTGGTTCCGAGGCAGAGGGCAGATTATTGGCCCTCACCTGTGTCACTTGTATCAATTGTATCACTATCCACCACAGAGGCTTGCAGGGCCTCTTTGTCAAACTCCCCAAAGTCCATATAAGTCCATATCCTCACCATAATTATCACTATCACTGACTTGGGCCGGCTGTGGTGGGTGGCGGGTGAAGAACTGGTAATGTTTTGATGACTGGCGACCTTGTGCGCACCATGTTCGCGCAGCTTACACAACATGGCGGATGGCGGGAGGTTTGGATCCAAAAATGGCGCGGCTCGCCAGCCGCTCTCCGCGTAAAGGGGTACACGCACCGCGGAATGTGAGCATCCTGGGTTCCGGCACATAATTATCACTATCACTGACTTGGGCCGGCTGTGGTGGGTGGCGGGTGAAGAACTGGTAATGTTTTGATGACTGGGCGACCTTGTGCGCACCATGTTCGCGCAGCTTACACAACATGGCGGATGGCGGAAGGTTTGGATCCAAAAATGGCGCGGCTCGCCAGCCGCTCTCCGCGTAAAGGGGTACATGCACCGCGGAATGTAAGCATCCTGGGTTCCGGCAGGGCACCGCGTAAACGTGGAATGCGGGACCGCATAAAGTGAGGGTTAACTGTGTGTGTGTATATATATATATATATATATATATATATATATATATATATATATATATATATATATATATATATATATATATATATATATATATATATATATATATATATATATATATATATACAGTGGTCCCTCGGTTAACGACACAATTCATTCCAGAAGGTCGCTCGTTAACCGAAACCATCGTTTCAATGGGATTTTGGGTAATTGGTTCCAGCTCACCGAAAACTACATACAAAGTAAAAAACAAATGCAGTAAAGTACCCTTACTTTGAGGTGTGTATGTAGAAGGCTCCTGGTTGTTGATGATGATGATGGGAATTAGAAGTGGGGGTGGAGGAGAAGGGAGAAGAGAAGGAAGTGGGGATGGAAGAGAAATCACCCCATGCTTGATGCTGTCATTTTGCCCATAAAATTTTATGTTCAGTAGGTGTAATTCAAGATTATTTTCTTTAAATCAACACTGCACTGCACTATATATTGTCAATATGTTAAATAAATTTCAGAATGACCAATAATTGTACTGTAAAAACGTAAAAATACTATGTGTTCAAGAGACCCACAAGCAATATGTTTCCTCCACTGAACAAAGATAAAAACTGAGGCCTTGGTGGGTGAGTGAAGTGGCTCATTGGCGCACCAAAAACTAGTTCCCTGTATACAGCAATTATGTTAAATAAGTGTTAAAATGACTAAAAATTTAATATAAAACTTGGAAAATTATTGAATAGTACAAGCTTCTTGATATTTACTCCAAATTTAACGAATGTAAGCCCTAGAATCGATTTCTGTATTGGCGGACTAATCTTCCAGCTGGTGAGCAAGCCAAAGCACGTCGAAACATTTTCGTAAGAATTTCGTCAAACGAATTTTTGTTCGTTAACCGAAATGAAGATTCTTATGGAAGGTAATTCGTTAACCAAAATTTTTTAATCCGAGGCATTCGTTAACCAAGGGATCACTGTATATATATATATATATATATATATATATATATATATATATATATATATATATATATATATATATATATATATATATATATATATATATTATATATATATATATATATATATATATATATATATATATATATATATATATATATATATATATATATATATATATATATATATATATATATATATATATATATATATATATATATATATATATATATATATATATATATATATATATATATATATATGTGTGCTGTGTGTGCAGGTAGGTGGGTGGGTGGGTGGGTGGATGGATGGATAGATGGATAGATAGATAGATAGATAGATAGAGTTAACCCTCACTTTACGCGGTCCCGCATTCCGCGTTTCCACGTTTACGCGGTGCCCTGCCGGAACCCAGGATGCTCATATTCCGCGGTGCGTGTACCCCTTTACGTGGAGAGCGGCTGGCGAGCCGCGCCATTTTTGGATCCAAACCTCCCGCCATGTTGTGTAAGCTGCGCGAACATGGTGCGCACAAGGTCGCCCAGTCATCAAAACATTACCAGTTCTTCACCCGCCACCCACCACAGCCGGTCCAAGTCAGTGATAGTGATAATTATGGTGAGGATATGGACTTGTATGGACTTTGGGGAGTTTGACAAAGAGGCCCTGCAAGCCTCTGTGGTGGATAGTGATACAATTGATACAAGTGACACAGGTGAGGGCCAATAATCTGCCCTCTGCCTCGGAACCAACCGCCCATCCCCGTGTGCCCAGCCATTTTTTCTACTAATGTAAGTGTTAAAAAACCTAATATTATTGATATTTCTCTTAATTATTACTTGTTTTTTCATACCATCATAAAGTTAAGATAATATTTTTACTACAACATAGTTGTGTGTGCGTCAAAAAATTGAGTTTGGGATCGGCCCGGGACTCCATTTCAATTAATCCCCATATATGTTATTATTCACTTTCTTGGCGTTTCTCTCACTTTCTGTACAGGACCTCAGGTTACATTAACGTAAAGTGAGGTTAATATATATATATATATATATATATATATATATATATATATATATATATATATATATATATATATATATATATATATATATATATATATATATATATATATATATATATATATATATATATATATATATATATATATATATATACAGTCATCGCCGTTTGCGTCCAACGAAGAACGTCGTCCATAAACGTCATTGGCCCTTGAAAAAAATGGAAATAAAACCTCATTACAACCCACACCAACACTTCGCTTCACCAACACCCACACCTCCCTCCAAGCCAACACCCACACACCTCCCTCACACCACCACTCTTACCTCCCTCACACCTTTTCCCACCTCCCTCACACCAACACCACCTTCACACCACCACCGACACCTCCCTCACACCACCACCGACACCTCCCTCACACCACCACCAACACCTCCCTCACACCAACAGTCACCCCATCCTCAAATCCCCACCAACACCTACTTCACACCAAGTCAGCCAGGGTTTTTATCTTATATAATACAATATCTCAGACTAAATTTAGGAGAATATAATTTGCATTGCTGGAGTCCTTGCAAGACAGCGAGTAATTTGAATATAAACGTCATATATTTTGCACAAGAGATAAAAATTTTTGCTTTCTGTAATAAAATTCTTAAATTAGATCTAAAATTTGTATGTCGAATGCAAATTATAGCTTGTTTATATTCAAATTGGTCGCTGTCTTGTGAGAATTCCAGCAATTTTTATTACATTCTCCCAGGTCATTTCACTGGCATTTGAAAATGAGAGAAGCTTAGTAGGACTGTTAAATAAACACACAGAGACCTTCGGCTCAAACTGTCAAACATATCACCTCAACCCCCTCCTCCCTCCCCCTAAACATAGGAGAATATAATTTGCATTTCTGGAATCCTTGCAAGACAGCGAATAATTTGAATATAAACGTCATATATTTTGCTCGAGATAAAAATTGTAGTACATTAGTGCACAGTACTGTAGTACATTTTATAATATAAAGTTTTTCAACTGTATTTTTGGGTAGATTTACATAAATTTCTAAATTTATTTTCATCCATTTGCATGCACACACTATATGAGGGCTTGAGCTGCCACCATTTATGAGGGCCTGAGCTGCCACCATTTATGAGGGCTTGAGCTGCCACCATGTATGAGGGCTGCTACTGCCACCCTTCATGAGGGCCTGTGTGCCAGTAACAATTCCTTCTACTCTTATATATCACCATTGGTAGCGTGACGATAGGAGGCTCGTGGGTAGGTGTAATGATAGTATCAAGCAATAGGGAAGAAATAACGGTAGATACTGTAGGTAAATAATATACACAATTATACAGATACAAAGTTTATTTAAACATGAATATGAAATTAGAAGAAAAAATTGGTTTGTACTAACAGACGAAATCTATTACTAGGCCCTCAGGCTCAACATACTCACACCATTACTGGGTGGACATATTCAATACCCTTCCAACCCTACGGGGTGGACATACTCAATAACACAACTATGATAGTCACTTAGCACCATAAATACTAGGCAACTGCCACTGCAACACTCAGTCGTCAGGAGTGATACTCAAGCAACAGCCATGGGGTCCAGCCACCATGGAGTACTATCCGACGAACTCTGGAGATCCCAGTGGGTTAATTCCACCACACAAATATAGCCCTACTGAGGTAGACATTCATCCACCAATGATGGGGGCTGGTAGTGGTGTGTGGCTTGGTGGTCCAGGGTCACCTCGTGGACCGAGCGTTAGGGCCAGACGAGCCAGCTATGGGGCTATAGGTGGTCTGAAGTGTCTGACGGCCGGGTCTCACGAAGGTAACTGATCCTACTGGACCTCGGACATGTCCCCAGACATAGTGGATACAACATCCACCCTACAGACACGGCCTAGGCTGCGTTAGGGACCTGTATGGATGAAGGGACGGGCACTTACTAACCGGTGACAACAACAACACGCTTCAGGGGACGTTAAAGACGTAAATATGACTTTACTCAGAGCATATCAACTACGTTACTGTAACACTTGCACAATCAACTATCAATTGGGTCAAATCACTTAAAGAAGGGCAAATTACAACACAGCGTGGAATGGCATACCTGTATGGATGAAGGGACGGGCACTTACTAACGGTTAAAATGCCCGCGTGCCCTCACTCAAACCAGACCAGGGAGTCCAGCTACTCCTATTCCAATGAATTAATTTACGGTACCCTCTGACGTTGAAAATGAGACTATGAACTCATTTTCATTCTCTACTATTATCTTCACTAACAATGCTCTGACTCAGCTATCGAAAGCAGAATTAAATTGATTACAAAGGAATGGATGGCAACAGGTCCCAGCATACAGCGTCTGCTCCCATAGACAAAGGCGGGGGAAACAGAGAAAACGGGGGACGTTTCCACTGGGGGACTCGGAAGGTTTTGTGGACGTTTGAGCGTAATATGAATCCTTAAGGTTTTCAGGTTAGCTCTTATCATGACCATTACAACTATACTAAAAGAAACGTAAAAGAAATAAATGACCTTAGTGCAAAGCTGGAGTGTACATGTACTAAATTGATTATGGTACTAAAATTGTTACGTCTCGTGCAAATTATAGCTTATTTTTATTCAAATTATTCATTATCTTGCAAGAATCCCAGCAATGTAAATTATATTCACCCAGGTCATTTCACTGGCTTTTTATAAGAGAGAAGCTTCCCGGTAGTCACTTATGGACTGATAAATAAATACACGTTAGACCTTGAGCGCCAACTGTCAAACATACCACCTCGCCTCCCGCTCCCCTCCCCCCCACGCTCCCTCCCTCCCTCCCTCCTCCTCCTCCTCCCTCCCCCCCTCCTCCCTCCCTCCTCCCTCCCTCCCTCCCTCCCCCCTCCCTCCCTCCTCCTCCCTCCCTCCTCCCTATGTGCCCAGCATTGCTGGAATCCTTGTAAGACAGCGAATAATTTGAATATAAACGTCATATATTTTGCACAAGAGATAAAAATTTATCACCTGTATCACATTACAGTAGTGATTTAAGAGTAAGAGTGTATATGTACGTATATAGTATTCCACATATGTGTAAGTACACTATAAATACAAAGTTTATGTGATGATCGGACAACGTCCATTTCGGTTAACATCACATTTCCAAGAACGTATCTAGGACGTTAACCGGCGCATGACTGTGTGTGTGTGTGTGTGTGTGTGTGTGTGTGCGTGCGTGCGTGCGTGCGTGCGTGCGTGCGTGCGTGCGTGTTACAGTAACACAATTGTTCTTAAGAAATTTAAATATGGGAATAGCACCCAATGTTGAAAGGATCGGATGATTAGGAAATTATTGAATTGGAATCTTTTCCCTTTTTTTTTTAGTTTTTCATTCCATCATAATTTCTCCACCATGTTATTTTTCACAGTTTAGCAGGATGCTGCATAATCTCCACTTTACATCTCCGTGCTACCATGAGATAAAGATTACATCAGCATCTACAGTTGTTTACATCTGCATTGAAATTGCAATATGTATACTGTATATGGTTCATTTGATAGCACTCAGGACTCCTACTACAGTACTGGTTCAATCCTGTGTCAGGTAAAGTTGGTTAGTGGGGCATAATTGTACTGTACCAAGGTGTTGTGCCGAGTTGACCACCAGCTGTCTTGATGTCTTGGGCTAAGACATAAGTAGACTTTCTAACCTTAAGTTTATCACCCCACAAATGTTACAACATATTATTACAATGATTTTCGAATATTGTAAGGTATTAATTGTATTTATGCTTTCTCAGGCAGAAGATGAGAAGGTTAAGCTAAAACTGACACTCACAGACATTCGACCATATGAATCCGGAATCTTCATGTGCTGGAGACAAGGATTAAAGCCTGACCCCCAAATTTTACTTACTGTACTAGGTGAGAGATGGAATCAGATTCCAAAAGAAAATTAGGTTTTACATTTTTTTTGTTATCACGTTTATGCAGTCAAGTTATTACTGTATATGGTGCTTTAATAAGATGCATGTTTGTCAGAATTACTTATTTTTGATGAGGCAGTACATCCCCATATTTAACAATATCCCATTTTTTATGATCTTACCAATTTTGTCTGTTTTTGTAGATATTTTGTTGCTGATTAGTCCCCCAACCTAACAATGGATTCTAGGGGAAATAAGCTTATAATGACTTACTTGGGTCATCATTACTCATATCAAATTTATGTTTACCAATGCTTGTATACCTGTGCTGTCTGTGTATATTGTTTGTATAAGTATACCTGTATTGTTTATGTACAGGAACACCCCGGTTTACGAAAGGGTTAGAGACCGAAGTACCAGCTCGTAGGTCGGTTGGTTGGAACCTAACAGCTAATTCCCCGTAGGAACAGTGTAATTATGGGGAGTTAGGTTTCGAGCTGTCTCACAAAATCCCCAATTTTGCTGAAATTTCACCTACAATAAAGATGTACACACAACTGTGACTTTGATAATTACTTTACCTTGGATCCTGTTGTTGTGCTGATTGGCCATGGTGATTGTTGGAGTGGAGTGGAGTGGGAGATGGCCAGTTACATTGGGAAGGATGGAATTGGGGAAATAGTTACTCCATCTTCACAACCTCAGAATGCTGGGCTTACTTATTATAGTAGACTGTATTGGACCAACTTCCTTCACAAGTTCGATAATTTTAACATTGTCTTTGAGAATCATTCCAATTGTTGACCAGTTGAGCCCAAAGGAATCACAGATCTGCATTGGAGTTTCTCACTTCTTTGCTTACTTTTGTTGCAGTGTTAAGGTCCTACACTGAACCAGGGCAATAGTTGTATCACTAGGTCCATTCTTATGCTCATCAGCAATGGTTGAGGCTTGAACAAGGGGTTAAATTAATAAAAAAAAATGAAAGAATGGCTGATCTTTCTGGTTTGAAAAATGGTGGCAAACAAGGCAATTGATGCTACAAATCCAAATGCCACTGAGACACCCCACAGCTGTGCAGAGGATGATGATAATCATCTGCCAGCGAACTAATTCTACACATATGTCTCACTGTTTAGTCTGTAAATCCAAGGGAGCCTGCTTATGACACTGGTTAGGTTCTAGGAGGTTTGTTCACAACATCGAAGTGCCATAATCTGAATGAACTGGGGTGTTCCTGTATACTCTTTACCTACATTATAAGTACTGTACATCCTGTATCAGTATGAACTTGCAGAATGATTTTATTGAATAAGTAACCATTCATCTGAGCTTCTCATGATTTCCTGATTAAAGGTTACTGAGATAATTTAGTACACCTTTATGCATTATTAAATGAAATTTATCAGAATCTTCTCTGAAATGTTGCAACAATAGAAATAGATAACTACAGTATATTGTTAAGAAAATTGCCACACATGTTCACATTGATTCAGTATACAGGTATACATGAATAGTGTAGACATGCAAACAATAAGTCAGTTCAGTTAATGGATACCCCAAGAAAGCTGTTAAAGGCTTGTTTCCAAGAAAAATTGTCCTTTATATTTCTAAGGAAAATGAAGTGTTATTATTGGCAGGTATGTTTCTATTGTAACAATCCATAAAATATTGGAATTAGTGATTTATGGAAACTAAAACATCATGGTGTCGGACATATTTGTCCCTAGTTCTTCACGTTAAAGAACCAGTGAGTAAATGAGTATCATGCCATGAGCTGCCGCAAGGTGGTTTCACATACATTGAGCTTACGCAAACTTTATGTTCCTCTTCTCATATACTGTATTTTATATACAGTCAACCCTCACTTTACGCGGTTAATGTAACCCGCAGGGTCCCGCGGAAAGTGAGGAACGCGTAAAGTGAATAACATAACATATGGGATTAATTGAAATAGAGTCCGGGCCGACCCCCAAACTCCACTTTTTGACGACACACAACTTTGTTGTAGTAAAAATTTTATCTTCACTTTATGATGGTATGAAAAAACAAGTAAGATAGAAGAGGTTAGGTTAGGAAAAATAAAGGTTAACATAGGAAAAATAAAGGTTAGGTTAGGAAAACTAAAAGTTATGTGGAACACTTACGTTAGTAGAAGAGATGGGTCGGCATACGGGGATGGAGGCAGAGGGCAGATTACTGGCCCTCAGGTGAATCACCATTACTAGGTGAATCACCATCACTGTCACTTACAGTTGTCAGGGCTTCCCTGACAAATCCCTCAAAGTCATCTTCACTGTCACTATCACTGGCTTGGGCTGGCTGTGGTGGGTTGCGGGCGAAGAAATCTGTTATGCTTTGCTGACGGCTGGTGTTGATGATGTTGTGATACACCTTGATGTAGGGGTCTATAGTCTGCATCAGCTGGGTAGTGAAGATTTCATACCTGTTTGCGTCAGGGTCGTTGGAAAGGAGGAGCTTGGCTTTCTCGATACACTCGATGGCACCCCTAACATTACTATGGGATAAGTGTTGTTCTTCTTGGGATGACGCATCACCTGCCTCTTCACTGACGTCGTCATCATCATCATCTACCATCTCGTCGGTAGTCACATCAGGATCCCTTATCACCTCCAGGATGTCGTCATTGGTGGTCTCGGAGAAGCCTGGAACTGTAACAGTCTGCGCAGCTTCTCTGGCAAGGTCCACTGCTACTGCAACAGTCTGAACCTCACCAGTCACAGATTGACTCCTCCTCTCACCTGGTATTCCATGCAACACATGTCTCCATGCGTGACGAATTGTAGCAATAGACAGCTGATACCATGACTCCACCAAGAAGTCCACAGCTTTCTTGATGTTAAATACTCTCCAGAATTGTTTGAACAGTATTTTTTGCTGTGCCAACTGTTGATCCTCATCTTCTTCGCTCTTGCTATCAGTGGTGGTGTCACTCAGGTTGTGCAACTCTTCCCTGGTGTTGGTGTAGTCGTTCAGGAGTTTGAATTTTTTCATAGAGAATGCAGCTTTTACATTACAGATTAACTCTTGGTCCATGGGCTGTAATATAGACGTAGTGTTGGGAGGAAGGAAGACCACTTTTACGTTGGGGTGACGATCTAACAGTAGGGGCGAGTGTCCTGGTGCGTTGTCCAGCAGCAACAAAATCTTGAATGGCACATTCTGTTGCTCACAGAATTTCTTTACATCGGGAACAAAACAGTCATCAAACCAGCAGAGGGACAGTGTAGAGAACATCCACGCCTTACGTGCGGTCAGCCAGTGGACATTTAGCTTGGTCACGTCCATGGTTTTGTAGGCGTGCGGCTTGCGTGCTGTGTGGATCACCGATAACTTGAGCTTACTGGTACCGGAGGCATTGGTGGTAAACAGGACGGTGATGCGTTCCTTCTGCATCTTCCGGCCCCGAATCTTGCTGGCATTCTTTACAACGAAGGACTTGGAAGGTAGCTTTTTCCAGAAAAGACCAGATTCGTCCATGTTAAACACCTGGTCGTCGGTGTACTGTCCTTCCTCCATAATCTCACGTAAAAACAGAGGAAATTCCTTAGCCGGAGCACGGTCAGCACTCACTTCTTCACCACCAATGTTTATATTGGTGATCTTGTTCCGGATCTTAAACCGCTGTAACCACCCAGAGGAAGCATTAAAGGGTTTGGGCTTTGTAGTTCCCATCTTTCGTGCCACTGCAATGTACAGTTCACGTGCGTAGTCCTTAACAGAGCGCGTGTCGACCGCCATGTTCCGTCTCGCCTGACGCACCAAGTACCTCACAAGTAATTTTTCTGTCTTGAGAAGCACCTGGTTGTGAAAATACTTGATCATAGAAGCACCTGTAGACTTTGTGATCTTCATGTGCTCCTTTATCTTGGCTGCATCCTTCTTTATTGTTCGAATCATAGATTCATTCACACCATGCTGGCGCGCCAAATCAACCTGCCTTGTTCCATTCTCCAACTCTTGGATGATGGTATACTTCACCTCGTAGCTTAAGGAACGTCGTGTCTTCTTTGGCTTAGTGCCGCTGGGTCCAGGTAAGGAAAGGTTTCTCTCTGGGGGTGGTGGTCCAGCGGAAGGCATTTTAGAGAACAATGGATGCACGTTTACACGGTCTGGCGTGGAGGGATGAAACTGGCGCGGCTAGGTCAAGGATCGTCTTTCCTCCCTCCCTCCCTCCCCCTGGTGGACACGTCATAATACTTTAAGCCAATTACAGCTAGCAGCAGAGGGGGATAGGCATGCACCGCGTAATGTGAGCACGTTAGGTTCTGGCAAGGCACCGCGTTAACGTGGAAACGCGGAATGTGGGACCGCGTAAAGTGAGGGTTGACTGTGTATATTTATAATTTATTTATTAATTTATTTATTCATTCATATACAGTATACACATACTGTACATACTTCTGTGGTGTGTACACTTTTTGCATTGTAAGCCTTTCATGCCAGCATTTTCCACTGACTCCTTGTGCCTGTGCACTCTCCCCCTCCCCCCCCCCATAAAAAAAATCTTGTATCCTATAATTTAAGAACCACTGGTCTACATGCTAAGAAACTCTGTACTGTAATGCATATATATTTAAAATTTTTCCCCTCTGCATATGAATGTGATATACAAATGATGATGCTATTGCATGGGTATACGTATTAGTTTTGTCAGAAAATTAGATGTACCAAAAATTTTGTAAATTGCAAAAATCTTAATTGACATTCTTTAAGTGTAATAAAAGCATGAAATTAAAGACAATGTGGTTATTGCGACAGCAAGGATTTAATATATATTTATATTTATATTTTTTTAATATACAGTGGTCCCTCAGTTAACGAACACAATTCGTTCCGCAGAGTCGTTCGTTAACCGAATCCATTGTTTCAATGGGATATTGGGTAATTGGTTCCAGCTCACAGAAAAGTACATACAAAGTAAAAAAAAATTGCAGTAAAGTACACTTACTTTGAGGTGTGTATGTAAAAGGTTCCTGATTGATGATGATGATGGTAATTAGAAGTGGGGGTGGAGGAGAAGGGAGAAGAGAAGGAAGTGGGGATAGAGGAGAAATTACCTTTCAGGGGACCCATGCTTGATGCAGTCATTTTACCAATAAAGTTTGAAGTTCACTAGGTGTAATTCAAGGTTAGTTTATTTAAATCAACACTGCACTGTGCTATATATTATCAATATATTAACTAAATTTCAGAATAACCAATAATTTCAATGTGAAATTGCAAAAATATTCAAGACGCCAGCAAAATCGATGTTCACTCCACTGTCAACAAAGCCAAACTGACGCCTGGTGGCTGAGTCAAACGGCTAATGGGCGCACAAAAAACTAGTTCCCTGAAATGCATTTACTATCAGTATGTTAACTAAATTTTAAAATGATAAATAATTTTAATATAAAAAATGCAAAAATATTAAAGAGCACAACTTTCTTGATATTTACTTCACTGGAAACGAATGTAAACATAGAACAGATTACTGAATTGGCAGACTAGCCCATCAGCTGATGATCACAACAAAACGTGTTGTTCGTAAGAATTTCGTTAATCGAAGTTTTGTTCGTTAACCGAATTGAAGATCCTTATGGAAGGTAATTCGTTAACTGAAATTTCGTTAATCGAACCGTTCGTTAACCGAGGGACCACTGTACCAGTAAGATAATTTACACTACTCATGAGCTTCCTAGTCATTTGGGCAGTTGGTCTATTCAGTGTTAGTACAAGAAGATGTAGGGTCACACTGGATAATACCCTTCTCTTGTGTCTCGGCCAAGCAGGACTTGAATCCTCAATATATTGGTGAGAGATGCTTGCTCATTACCGCTGTACCACCAACACCCCATACAACACTTAATTTCAAAAGAATACACTATACCGGTACCTCTTAAGTGTAAGGTTTTTATGATGTTGGAACATAACATTGTTGACACAATTTTGATTTACAGTACAGTGGAGTCTGCATTTACGCGGTCAATTGAACCTGTGGAGGCCCACGTAAAACGAGAAATGCGAATGTGAAATAACAGAACATATGGGATCAATTGAAATAGAGACTGGGCTGACCCCCAAACTCCACTTTTTCAGACACAATACCTATGTTGTAGTAAAAATAACATCTTAATTTTTTGATGGTATGCACACACAATTAATATTTAAGAGAAATACAGTCGCCCGGTTAATGTCCATTCAAATAATGGACTCAACTCCCCCTTCCCACGCTCGCTGGCTCCTCCCTCTCTGAGAAATGTTTGGGTGAAAACACTAGATTTTAAGGTATAGTAATAAATAATACCTCAGACTAAAATTAGGATAATATAATTGACATTGCTGGATTCCTTGCAGGACTGGGAATATTTTGAATGTAAACGTCATATATTTTGCACAAAAAATAAAATGTTTGCTAATTTTCATCATCTCCTTACATTACATCTAAAATTTGTATGTCTAATGCAAATTTTAAGATGTTTATATTTAAAATGCTCACCATCTTGTAAGAATTCCAGCAATGTAAATTATATTCTGGCCGGGTAATTTGTATGAATTTTATGAACTAAAAACAAATTTCTAAAGAATAAATAAATCATACTTCACCCAGACACTATTTGTCAATCAAAATACCCCACCTCCCCTCCCCCCTCCCCTCTTCCCACGCTCGCTGGGCCCTCCCTTCCTCCCTACCTCCCCCCCCGCTTTCCCTTCCTACCAGAGAAATGTTTGGGTTAAAACAGTATATTTACATTTTTAGTAATAAATAATACCTCAGCCTAAAGTTAGGATAATATAAATGATATTGCTGGATTCCTTGAAGAACAGGGAATATTTTGAATGTAAACCTCATATATTTTGCACAAAAGATAAAATGTTTGCTAATTTTCATCATCTCCTTATATTACATGTAAAATTTGTATGTCTAATGCAAATGTTAAGATGTTTATATTTAAAATGATCACCATCTTGTAAGGATTCCTGCAATGTAAATTATATATTTTATGAGCTAAAAACATATATATCTTCAGTAAATAAACAAATTATACTTCACCCGTGTAAATGATGAAATATACCTCGTAATTAAAACATTTCATTCTGGCAAGGTGCCGCGTAAATGACCAAACGCGTAAACAAAATCCGCGTAAATCCAGACTCGACTGTATTAATTTTTTGAACTGACGTCTAAATCATAAAGCCGAGACAGTAATAAGCAACTTATAAAGTGCTAATACAAGGATGATAAACTTTTACCAAGTACAGATACTGTACACTGTGTTGTGATGTTTTAACCAATTTTTTACCTTTTATCTAATATGTAAACTTCATGAACTGGAAAATTCTATGATCCAGCTTTGCTCTCCTCCACATTCAGATTCGTGCATCTCTTGACCCAATTGGTCTGGTCTTCTCCAATCTCTTCACATACACAAAACATCTCGGCTTACATCTATGCATTAAAACCTTGCCAAATAGTACTCTCAATATAGTATCCAGTTGCCCTCTAGCTCTGTACAGGGTTTCCAATCTCTTAGTGATGCGTTACACATATAAGAACATAAGAATGGAGGAAACTGCAGAGGGCCTATTGGCCCATACTGGGCAGTCCCATTTACACCCAACCCCTATTGCTCATATATCCATCCAACCTATGCTTGAAATCTCACCATTTTCATTTCATCTCACTCAAACCTATGTATGTCATTTTCTTTAACTGCCCACTTAAAATATACAAGACTCATGCTGGCTGCATATATCTTTCCTTTCAAAAAAAAAAAAACGACATGGTCCTCTCACTATCAATAAAGGCAACAGCTCCCATAACTTCTTTCTGCCATTTCTGACCCTTGCAAATGAACTAGCTTTAGCACAACCTCCAGCACTAATCATATCAGGCATGTAACAGAATTCATCCGACTCAGTCCAGGGATATACTGAACCATTAATGTCAAGCTTTTCCAGTCGTGGTAAAACTATGCAACTACATGCATATACAGCACACTTAAAGTCAATTTCATCCTATTCCTTGGAATTTACACTTCTGCACCTCTTGTGTACCTGCTTCCCACACTCGTTGCACATTATAAATTTTATGTCAATACTTTTCGTAGTCAGCATATGCCCACTTGCCACTAACACCTTAGGTCCTTCACCCCCTTCACCCACACCACTAATCATTACTTTTGATGCATTCACTATCTCATAAAGTTTGTCTCATTTTCATTCTCCTATTTCTTAAATTTCTGCACTATCTCTTCAGTATTCTCATTAATACATATCTGACTTAAGTCATCAACATAAAATAACTCCCAGGGCAGACAGATCCTAAATATAGTACTTGTACCTCTAACACTTTGATAAACAGAAGGGGGCTCAAGACAAACCCTTGATTGACCCCAACTTTTGCCTCAGATTCCTTCCTTTCCTTACCTTTTACTCTCCCAGAGGTTTTTGAGCTCATATATTGCCATAACTATTCATACCAGACACTCCTAGACCCCTATCTTTCTCATTGCTCTCTACACTACCTCACATGTGACCCTGTCAAATACATTTTCTTAAGCTTAATAAATACAAAGTATAGCTTTCTCTTTTCCCCTAGATATTTATTGTGGAATTGCCTGGCCATAAATATTGCTCAAACTGCATTTCATTTATATTTGCATTCTCTTAATTTTTTAATCACCTTCCACTACTTTCATAACCTGATCTAACAGCTTCAGGCTGTCAGCTGGAACAGTACTAACCATTCTAACTTCATTAATCAATTCAGTCACCAGTGTCATGCTAGTATCATCTGATGTTTTCAACAATTCAAGAGCTATGCCAAAGTTACCAACATCCTTTACCTTCTTTTGTCAATCACTTTCTTCACACATTTTCTTTCAATCCTTAGACATGGTTCCTGTATGGACTGCTGATCCTAGGCTGCTCCTCTCCTTGTCAGACTTCTCATTCAGCTGACAATCATAGTATTTTCTCCAAGCATTCTTAATTTCCTAATTATCATCAACCACATTTCCATAGTCATATCTCATGCTTTGCTCACCAAATAGGTCCTTTTTTCTACCCACTATATACTTCACATCTGACATTTCCAACATGCCCAGAACAAGGAGTGGGAATCTTCCCGATGGGTAAAAAATATTTTAACATTTTTGCATCTGTGCTTTCTAATATTGCAACCACTGGATAAACATTTAATATAAAAGGAGGCCGATTATTACCTGTAAATGCTTATGCTGCACACTCATTTATCTCTTATGTGTTGGTGGAAAATATGTGACATTCCTTTTTAAATGTTTTGTTGACACATTTAATTGAAAATATCTGCAAGGCCTCATTCAGTAATTATGAAGAAAGTTGTTGATAATTTGAGAGATATAGGGTATAGAACTGTAATGGACATTTAGAGAATTGATGTGAAAAGAGTTTGTAACAGATTGTTGCAAGATACAGAGAAAGGTCAAAGATAAGGTGGCAGGAGTGTGAGGAACTACAGATAAGAATTGTTTGTATCTGCAGAAGAATTTGCAGATCTTTGCAAAGATTAGGATGTGTGGAGTAAATTTTGCCTGCTAAATCCTACTGTGAATAGTAACAGGCCCAGAGGACATACAGTATATAATTATATGTATTGTTCTTAACAGAACCTGGGATGTCATCTGAGCGTCAGGTGATTACACGAACTGATGGTCCTTCTCATGTCAAATACGGAGATTCAGCCACATTCACATGTACCATCAGTCCACCCTGGCCAGTCAAGGTAAGAAAGGAATACAAGTCAGGAAAAAGTCAAGAGTAAGTAAGCATAATGCTAGACCACTTTTTAATGGGATTTGTTCTCTTTGGAGAACTTAATGACATGAGTAGAGGAATGTCTCCTTTACTCGGGGAAATGACTCAATTTGATTAAGGTGGTGACTAACAACAAATGCATTTGATTCTGTTATACTTTTTATGGTAACTGAGTATATTGTACTGTACCTCTAAAGGAGAATGACATTATTAGGAAGATTTCATGGGGAAAGAAAGTTTGTTTTTATAGCTGATAGAAATTTCTCAATAATCGAAGACAATTTTTCCATGAAGATTGAGCAAAGTATTCCAACTTCCTTTGTGCTAGTTTATAATTAATCATTCTGTAGACATGACTAGAACCTTATTTGGTGGAATAACTTGGACATTAATCAATTCACTCACACCATAAGGTGACGTGGCTCAAGGATGGTGTAGAGATCCCGGACACAGACCGCCTCTATACTCAGAGTGTGCGGGCAGTTGCTAATAGGAAAGTACAAGAGGAAAGACAAGATGCAGTGGAGGAGCTTCTAGCAACTCTCACTGTTGTCACCATCAGGAAGGATACAAACTTCACCTGTCATATTGAGACAGACCCACCTGATGAGCGCACCATTCAGGTTACTGTGCGAGGTGAGTGAAAGGTAGTTTTATATAAATACATTGCTGTCATACTGTATGTGATGAAGTAGATAACAAAGTTTTTTCATTTGCTGCATTGTCCTTGAAATGGATCTGAGGTTGTTATCTCTTAGGTAAGAATATATATTTTTCTGAATCTTTATAGTTTTATATACAGTCGGCCCTTAACATACGCGGGGGTTACGTTACAGAGATATCCGTGGATGTTAAAAATCCGCTTATATTTGCTGCCCCCCCCCTCCCCCCCCATGTCCTTATTTACCGTATATACCTGTGTGTAGTTCGAGTTTTTAAGACCAAATTATTTGGCAAAAAATTGGGGGTCGACCTCTAAACGGGTAATAGTTTCGTTAGGTTGAAAAATATTTACCAGTAACGACCAGTAAACAATGGAAACGATGCACCAACGCACCACCAGCTGTGTCTGTCGGTACAGTTGCCAGGGCAGATCTCTTGCGTCTTCATAGCAAGCCCAAAGTAGCCAAATCCATGATATGGTAGCACAGGACGATGTAAAACATAAAGTATTCATTTATTAAAGTTTATTTATAGATACTGGACATAAATTTTTGTTCATTACATTTGAAACATCAATCTTTGTTAATTAAATTTGAAACAAAAGAAAACTACGATACCGTATTTCCATTAAAATATTACATCACAAGTATATTTTACCTCAACTGTGACTGAATGAATATACGTATTCTCAGAAATAAATATGGAAATATAATATTTTTGCTGGAATGACGTACATATTACAGTGGAAAGTGGGATAAAATCATGACGAAAACAATGACTTTCGCTTTCTTTCGTTATTCAAAAGATTTTACCGTAATCGCTTTTCGAATGGTTTTCAGTTAAAAAACTGTTGTACTCGTACTGTATTACAATAATATTCTATCCTATCATTAGCCTTATAATCCCACAACTGAAAACCATTCGAAAAGCGATTACGGTAACATCTTTTGAACGAAAGAAAGAGAAAGTCATTGCTTTCGTCACAATTTTATCCCACTTTCCACTGTAATACATACATCATTTCAGCAAAAGTATTACATTTCCATGTTCTCAGAAATAAATGGTAGTTTCGTTGAAACGTAATGTACAGTATTTAATATTAAAATGCAAAAATAGCTATAAAAACAATTAATACACCCGTAATGTACTGGCTGGCATCTCCACTCGTCCCTCCTCCCGCGTCCAAGGTCACCACTCCTCCCAACTCGCTCCCTCCTCCGCCTCCTCCACCTCCTCACCGTCACTACTGCCGACAACAAACACAAATGTTTTGTGAATAATCTGCACCTCCACTTCCTATGTACAGTACTGAACTGTACTGTGCTGTGCATTTTTACAAACAATAAACATGACAAGAAAAGCTATTAAAAAAAAAAGAGATCAAAATTTCACTTTACTGTACAGTACCTATCCTCGGCGACAGGACGGGGCTCATCAGGCTCATCGTCACTCAATTCCATAACGGGTGGTGAAGTGGGGGCGACGGTGGAGTCAGCTGCTTCCTCACTGCCGCCAGTGATTGATGGTGTTAAATCTCTCCTTCGGTGATCAAAGAACATGGTGATGGGGACTTGTCGTCTCTTTCTTTTCATTTCTTCCATGATGTTTTTGTATGGAGCAAAAACGTCATCAATCCCTCGCATGAATTTCAGGGCACTCACCATGGAGGGGTCCATACTATAGGCCAGGTTATTCAGTGCCTCAATATTCCTGGTCATCTCCCCCAACTTCTCCAACGTTATTTCTTGGTGCTCTTCCTCATCCTCTTTCCCTTTCGCTTCCTCTTCCTTGCCTGAGTCTACTAACTCCTGCAGATCCTCCTCGGTCAGCTCAGTGTCGTGCTCTTCAATTAGCTCCCTAATCTTGTCCTCTGCATGTCCTGGAAGCCTTCAGCAGCCACTTTCCTTGACAGTGCCAGGGTCTTTCTGAATATTTTCATTAAAATCCATCAAAATCATTTTCCTTGTCATCGTCTTAAGCACCAAACAGCTCCTCCCAGTCTTCTCTTTGAACAGGGCTAGAGGGTACGTGTTTTTCGAATCGTTATCAATTAAAAAAATGTTACAGCACATGTATATTTTACCTAAACTGTGCCTGAATGAATATATTCTCAGAAATAAATAGTAGTTTTGCTGAAACATGATGTATTTCAATGTAAAATAGGATAATATACATGACGAAAACAAAAGACTTTACCTAACCTTCCAATGTTCAAGAGATGTTACTCGTTTTTTTAATAGTTTTCGGTTAAAATACTGTTATATTACAATTCTATTCTATTCATACTGTGCTTGATATACTACGTTCACGGAAATGTAATATTTTTGCTGAAATGACGTACGTATTACAGTGGAAAGTGGGATAAAATCGTGACGAAAACAATTACTTTCGCTTTCTTTCGTTCAAAAGATGTTACCGTAATCGCTTTTCGAATGGTTTTCAATTAAAAAACTGTTGCATCACAAGTGAATTAGGATAGAATATAATTGTAATACAACAGTTTTTTAACTGAAAACCATTCGAAAAGCGATTACGGTAATATCTTTTGAACGAAAGAAAGCGAGTCATTGCTTTCGTCACTTTCCACTGTAATACGTACGTCATTTCAGCAAAATATTACATTTCCATATTCTCAGACATAAATAGTAGTTTTGCTGAAACGTAATGCATTTCAATGTAAATTAGGATAATCTACATGAAAACAAAAGACTTTACCTAACCTTCTGATGTTCAAGATATGTTACTCGTTTTTTTAATAGTTTTCGGTTAAAATACTCTCATATTAGTGATATTCTATTCATACTATGCTTGATATAATACATTCACGGAAATGTAATATTTTTGCAACTACAATGCTGATGTCAACACAAGCGTGGTTACAGCGAGACTGACTGAGTGAGGGAGAGCTATGCGTGTGTGTGTGAGGTAGCGGGAGCGGGCGATGTCCCGTGTTCGTTGCCGCGCGCGATTTGAATGTACTTCAATTACTTCAATGTACAGAATATTCCTCCAGCGGGGCAATCCGCGTATTTGCAAATCCGTGTATGCTAAACCCACGTATGTTAAGGGCCAACTGTACAGTATACTGGAAAGAGAGAAAAAAACTGAAGTACAGGGGGTCCCCGGGTTATGAACAGGTTCCGTTTCTGAGGACGTTCTTAAGTCTTATTTGTACGCAAGTCAGAACACATGTTATGTGCATACCGTACTTACAGAAAATGTTTTAAATCCCACTACTGTATATCATAGGCTAAGTCCTTCTATGCATCTAAAATCACATAATTTAAGACAAAGGTAGAAATAGAATGCCAAAATACAGTAACTGAAGGTAAAAAATTAGTTATCAGGTAAATAAAATACTGTACTGTAAATTTCAAGTTTAACCCTTTTGTATCGGTGGGCATTTTTAAGTCAGACGCTCATAAGTCGGGGACCCCTTATATATTTTACCAGATAACATTATGATATTTTTAGAAAGGATCTATTTGCACCACTGTGTTTATAGGTCTTGATCAATAGTGAGCATAACCTCTTAATTTCATGACAGCTTATCATAGTGGTACACAATATTCCTGGGATTTAATTAATGGCCTCTGCAGATCCTGTGGCATATGCCCACGTGATGTAATCCCACTGGGATTTTGTTTGTATACTGTAATTACATTTTTATATTGCACATTATCCATCAACACTATTGTAATCTTAAACTATTAGAACTCACAAGGCTTTGTAGAGTCATATAGAAACAAATGGGATTTTGGGTAATTGGTTCCAGCTCACCGAAAATTACATACAAACTAAAAATAAATGCAGTAAAGTACACTTACTTTGAGGTGTGCATGTAGAAGGCTCCTGGTTGATGATGATGATGATGATGGGAATTAGAAGTGGGGTGGAGGAGAAGGGAGAAGAGAAGGCATTGGGGTGGAAGAGAAGTCACCTTATGCCGCCATTTCACCCATAAAATTTTAGTTCACTTGGTGTAATTTAAGATTTTCTTCTTTAAATCAACACTGCACTGCATTATATAATGTCAATATGTAAAATAAACTTCAGAATGACCAATAATTGTACTGTAAAAATGTAAAAATAGTTTATGTTCAAGAGAGTCTCAAGCAAGAAGCTTCCTCCACTGAGCAGGGACACACACTGACGCCATTTTGGGTGTGTTGAGTGGCTGTTTGGCGCGCTAAAAACTAGTTCCCTGTACTTCAATTATGTTAAATAATTGTTAAAATTACTAAAAACTTTAATATACGTTTTGGAAAATTATTGAATAGTACGACCTTCTTGATATTTACTCAAATGGTAACAAATTTAAGCCCTAAAACTGATTACTGTATTGGCGGACTAATACTACAGCTGGTGAGCAGGCGAAAACATATTGGGAAAAATTCGTGAGGAATTCGTTAACCGAAATTTTTTCGTTAACCAAAGTGAAGAATCTTATGGAAGGTAATTCGTTAACCGAAATTTCGTTAACCGAGGCGTTCGTTAACCGAGGGATCACTGTATTTTTACGTTTTTACAGTACAGGTACAATTATTCGTCATTCTGAAATTTATTTAACATATTGATAATATATAGCGCAGTGCAGTGTTGATTTAAATAAAATAATCTTTATTTACAGCAATTAAACTTAAAATTTTAGTGTTGAAATTGAATCCAGCATGGGTCCAAAGAAATCTAGAAAGGCGATTTCAATCCAGGTAAAACAGGAAATAATAAAGAAACATGAACAAGGCATTAGAACAAATGTGCTTAGTAAAGACTATGGCATGTCGGCATTAACTGTGTCGACAATTCTTGCACAGGAAGACAAATTCAAGGAAGTGAAAGTGAGAGACAAATCTACCAGTGTTTTTAAAGGTAGATCCTTAATTGCAGAGACAGAGAGGTTACTTCTCATTTGGATTACGGAAAAGCAAATGAAAGGAGATTCAATTTCGACAGAATTTATTTGTGAAAGAGCCGGGGAAATTTAGGAACATTTGAAGGAGGAGAAACCTGGTTCTTCTGGCACAGAGTTTGAAGAGTTTAGGGCCAGCAAGGGCTGGTTTGAAAAATTTAAGAAAAGAAGTGACATTTTCAGTGTTATTAGGCATGGTGAGGCTGCCAGTGCAGATAAAGAAGGAGCAGCAAAATTTGTAGTGGACTTTAAGGAACTGGTGGAGGAAGAAAATTATCTTCCACAGCAAGTGTTCAATGTGGACGAAACTGGGCTGTTCTGGAAGAAAATGTCCAAAAGGACATTCATCACCAGAGATGAAACCTCTTTACCTGAGCATAAACCCATGAAAGACCGTCTCTCTCTATTGTTTGGTGCCAATGCTTCAGGGGATTTCCGACTGAAGCCTATGTTTGTCTACCACTCTGAGAACCCCAGGGTATTCAAGCAACAAAAAGTAGTAAGAGGACAGCTTGGAGTTTATTGGAAGTCCAAACGTAAGGCATGGGTGACAAGACAGGTCTTTAATGAATGGGCTGTTGAGGTGTTTTGTCCTTCTGTGAAGAGCTATCTAACCACCAATAAACTCCCTTTAAAGGCTCTTCTCCTAATGGATAATGCCCCTGGTCATGACCCTGAACTTGCCAGCACTTTGGAGGCTCGATTTGACTTTGTCAAAGTGTTGTTTTTGCCTCCCAGCACTACATCAATTATACAGCCAATGGACCAGAATGTGATCAGCAACTTCAAGAAGCTGTACATGAAGAAAATGTTCAGAAGGTGTCATCAGGCAACTTCCACTGATCCTGATCTAACACTAGCACAGTTCTGGAAGACACAATTTAACATCCTGGAGGCTGTAAAATTGATTGTCTCATCGTGGCGAGAAGTCTCCATTAGATCCCTCAATTCTGCATGGAAAGCACTGTGGCCATCAGCAGTCCATGATTTTGAGGGATTTCAGGAAGAAGCAGAGTTGGACCAGGAGATTGTGTCGATTGGTCAGTTATTGGGCCTCGAAGTGGAGGAGGATGATGTGGAAGAGCTTGTGATGTCTCATGAGCAGGAACTTACCGGGGTACTCCTGAAGACATGCAGCAACTGGATGAGATGTTGGAAGCTGACAGTGGTGAGGAGGAAAGGGAAAGTGATGACCATGTCTTCTTCAGATTTGAAGGATGTCACTCACTAATGGGAGAAGTTCAGGAAACTGGCTTCAAGGCACCCTAATGTGGAAACAACAGAACCTATTTTGTGTAATGTTGAGGACAAAGTGGTCTCCTTCTTCAAAAATCAGTTAATGATGAGGAGGAGAAATGCCCCACAAACAAAAATCGAGTTTCTTCTCTAAGAGGCAGCGGGAGAAAGATGCTACCCCTCAGCCTTCCACTTCAAAAAGGATAGAGGATTTTCCTGCTGGAGAATCTGTCAGTCCAGAGGTTCCTCACATTTTTATGGAAGGTGACTCGCCTTCCAAGGAGCAGTAAAATGCTTCTCCTCCACCCCCACTTCCTTCTCTTCTCCTTTCTCCTCCTCCACCTCCCACTTCAAATTCACATCAGCATCATCAACCAGGAGCCTTCTACATACACACCTCAAAGTGAGTGTACTTTACTGCATTTTTTTTTTACTTTATGTAATTTTCGGTGAGCTGGTACCAATTACCCCAAATCCCATTGAAACAATGGTTTTGGTTAACGAAATTTTCGGTTAACGAACGACCTTCTGGAACGAATTGTGTTCGCTAACCGAGGGACCACTGTAGTTTATGTTCAAGAGAGCCACAAGCAAGATGTTACCTCCACTGACCAAAGATACAAATTGACGCCTTTGTGGGTGAGTCAAGTGGCTGTTGGGCGCACCTAGAACTAGTTTCCTGTACTCTAATTATGTTAAATAAATGTTAAAATGAAATAAGTGTTAAAATGACTAAACAATTTAATATAAAACTTGGAAAATTATTGAATAGTTCAACCTTTTTTATATTTACTCAAATGGGAACGAATTTAAGCCCTAGAACCGATTACTGTATTGGTGGACTAATATTCCAGCTGGTGAGCAAGTGAAAAAATTTTGACATGATTTCGTAAGAATTTCGTAAACCGAAGTTTTTTCGTTAACCGAAATTTTGTTAACCGAGGTGTTCGTTAACCGAGTGATCACTGTACAGCGTATGAGAAACTTAAGTTTGGATCTTCATGAATTGTACTGTACAGTAGCATAGGGAGATTAACAGGTTCACTGCTGGAAGAGGGTCATGCATTGGTGGTTGGTGGAGAGATGGGTGGTGTGGTAGCATGTGGCTGGTATGTGGGTGGTGGATTGGTGGCAGCAGCTGACCGAGTAGGTGGGGAGACGAATCAGCTGGGCGAGTGGTTGTTTTTTTCTTGAAAAACATCGTGATTGGTAGTTGTTTGCTCTTAGCCTTCAGGTCTCTAAACATTTCACTCCACTAGCAGTACTAGCACTGACACTAGGCAGTCTTTCAGGGGCCATTTCACACAGAAATACTAAAGTTTTCAGTGTAACATGAGATGCTGCGTCACAAGCATTGGTTGAGCACAAACAAATGGAGAGGAGACACTGTGGGCACATGGGGGTGACTTGTTGCATTGCAGGAGAAGCTCATAAGCTAGCCACCATCTGCTTACCGTGAATAGTCGAAATCATGAATCACAAACCCATGAATTGCAAGGGTTTACTGTACTCCAATAGTAAATAAAGCACATTACTCTACAGCATATCTTCCCAGCCTTTAACAGTATTTTAATGTATAAATAGCTTATATTAATTTTGCAGGCAGTCCATAGTGTTAATTGGACATATGGACCCTGTTTGTTGGTATCTGCAAGTTTGTAAGTAAAGAAGCACCTGTAGTCTTATTTCATATTAGATTATTTATATACTTTTACTTTTAGAAATGAATATTCTAAGTTCTCTCCTCATTCTGCCTCATCACAAAGTTCCAAGAGTGGTGTCATTGATGAGTGAACCAGACAAGGACACAGTGGAATATGGCCAGTCCCTCTCTCTCAGCTGTATTGTTTCTGGATCAGATTCAGAGGTGAGTATAAAGGAATCTTGATGCAGTGGGTGAATGACTGTATGGTATTTATCCAATATTGTACTTGTGTCTTATCTGTGCTTAACCCTCTCGTGGTCTTTTGACGCAGATTGCGTCGCTGAGTGCTCCCGTGCTGGCCTGACCTTTCCCATTCAGCCATATCTCACACTGAGAGCACCCTTCCCATAAGCAGAAATGCTGGAACAGGGGACCGGTCCTATCAACCACCTAAGTTCCACACATTAGCCTTGTGGGCTGGCAGTTGCATCTCTCAGGGTGCAACGATTTGGGTCGGGGTCGCTCTACCCAATGTTTACTAAAATGGAAAAAAGCCTTTTTTTCTAAAAACCAGTTTTTGTGATATAGCTCGAATGCGACGATCAGCAATGCTACCTAGGTATGTTAATTCCTTGCCAATTCGCCAGGCCAATTATGATGACATATAAACAAATGTTATGTTAGGCTGTAACTCATGTCATGTTTATTGGGCGTGCCTGCCCGTATTCAATGTAGAGTGTTGAGATGGTTGAAGATGAGAGGCCCAGAAGGAGGTTGGAGGGTGTGAAGGGAGTTTGTTTATATATAATTATAATCACTTGACTCAGCCATAGCTGACCAGCCAAACTATTCCTGTTACCAATGCAATCTGTGTTGAAAGAATGTGACGGGGTGAGATAGTAAAGGACACTATTTGCATCGAAAGACTGTGAGGAAGTGAGGTTTCTGATCATGGCTAGGAGTACCAGAGGATTAACATATTTTATTTCAGCAATCTTGCCAAAATTGACTTTTATTATCACCATAAAAGATACTTCAGTTGCACTTGTCTGCTAACCCTTTCTCACATTCCATTCCTTCTTTCCAACTACACAACCTATTGACATTTTACCTTCTCCCATGTTCTTGACAACCATTAATTTTGTTTTCATAATTTCACCACTTATCAGCTTAATAGCTGTTTGAATAGTTGGTCTGTTCTTTATTACTTAATTGCTGCAAAACTTTATTGCCCCGTGTTATATTTGTACAGTATAATGAACCTTAAGAATTTTTAAGCTTGGCAAAAAACCCTACACTTTTAATTAGGAATTAATGAATTGATCAATGAATCTAGAAAGATAAGTTATTAGGGAATCATTCACTTCTACAATAATATTTAATACACTCTCATGTTATGTTGTTTTGACCTAGCTACCTACTAAGAATTTTTTATCATATAGGGTGTCATATCTCTAAATGTACCACACAGAAGGATTGAAAAAAATAACTTGGAATTACCAGAACCATGTTTGTGGTATTGATTATAGTACAGGTATTTAGCAATATAGCAATACTGTACTGCACCACAATCACGGTTTAGCCTCAGAGCAATGAAAGGGTTAAAGTCAGCAACATAATATAGTCTGCCATTTACAAAACAGCACCTCTTGCGTACCCAGCTGCCACACTCGCTGCATATTATTCAGTTGCTGTTAACACCTTCCTTAAAGGCAGCACAGGACCATACAGTATTACATTCCATTTTACACCATTGGTCTCTCACCCACATCACTAATCATTACTTTAATTTTTGCCACATTCACTCTCATGCTCTTTGACTTGTTTTTATCATTCTATTTCTTAACTCTCTGATTTTGATTGATGACAGAATTTTGTGGTTTCCATGATTGATAATGATGATAATAAGAGTGCTGTTTTACCTAAAAAAATAATTTATTTCATGTAAAACAGAATATATTCTAGGCACAATAATTACCTTACTAACCTCATGAAGATAGCTGTTTTGAAAGGTTTTTGAAGATTTCCAAAAGCTCACTTCTTTGATCTGACTGAGGCTCATATGCTGCAGAAAGGCCACAGACCCTGCATATTTCCTGGTGTCATGTTCCCAAAATTTCTTGCCAGGGTCTGCTTGAATCACTAACTGAGATAATATTTCATCATTAGTATCTTCTTAACTGGGCACTATATATGAGGAACCCTTGTCTCATCTGTTAGCCGTTTTATCTTGATAGGTTGAGCTTGAAAATCCTCCCTTTCATTTTCTCTTAGAATCTCCGTAGGAAAAAGGGTGACATCTTCCTCAGAAAATACCAATAATGGTGGATTATTGGAAATTGAAATCAGCTCACTGAGCCTCATGCCTGTTGCAATTGCTAAAAGGAAGGCTGCCTTCTGGAGCAATCTGTCCTGGTTCAGATTTATATAGTAATTAGGCCCCATTAGAAATTTAGTAACTTTATCTAGAGACCATGGTGGGACTCTCTTTGGCCGAGTGGGTCTCTGAATGAAAAAGGACGATCTGAGCATTTGATGAATTCTTGGGTTCAAAGTAATATTAAAACCCCACTCCAGTGGGTTAACCAATGCTGATTTACAAGATGCAATTGTAGATCCTTGAAGGCCTTTAACTCTGAACAGAAAATCTAAAAATTCTAACACCACTGTTTCCGACAATGTGATTGGAGTCGTTAACCTGATAAATTTTTTAAAAAGTTTCCAAGCTTTCTCATATTTCATAGAAGTTTGGGGTCTATGACCTGCTATCACTTGGTTAACTATATTGCAATTACCCAACAATCTATTTAAACATCTTCTGAGAAACTCCAGGCGTGAAGTGCCAAGGATATCTCGAACTGAGGGTGCAGCACCTGGTCAAGACATACTTATTGCAATTGTAGTGGATGCGGGCACCACTCCAACAGATCCAGACACCATGGTTGTAGGATCCAATATGGTGCAATTAAGAGGACCTTTCCTTGGAAAGATTTGAGTTTGTGATCCACTTTGGGCAACATTTTCACAGGTGGGAACAGATATATTGAATTCCAACGGTTCCATTCTATGAGTAGAGCATTTCCTAAAAGATTCAATCGTTCAGAAGATACATAAGGCAAAGAGATCTATTTGTGGACTCCCAAACCTCCTCACTAGACTCTTGATCTTCGATACCTTTAGGGACCTTTCTGTTTCTGTCGATACTGGCTTGAGATAGGACAACGCATTTGCCCAATTGTTTTGTACTCTTGGTATGTGAGTTGCTTTGAGGTAAAGTGTTTGTGTTACACAAACTTTGAAATTTTTTTCAACAGTGTGAGAAGGGGCCAAGATCTGGTTGAGCCTTGATGATTAAGACAAATCACTGCCGCTCTGTTTTCCATGGCAAACAGAATCGTCATATTTTTTAAATTGGGGTTTGCCAACAAAAAGAATAGGACTACTGCTAATTCTTTTATGTTTGTGTTTGATCCAAAGGGAGTTGTTCCACTTCCCTTGACGGAACTCTCCTTTTGAGGAATGGTATCCCCATCCTATCTCGGACTCGTCTGTACAAACGACCAAGTCTGTTTGAGGGGGAACCCTGGGAGATGAACCGATTAGAGAGTCCAAATTTGACCAACCATGACAGATAATTCTTGATCTGAATAGGAAGAGAAGAAACAATATTTCTGTTTCTGTGAAGCAACTTTGACCCCAGAAGAGTTAGTTACTTCTTCCTTAACGTGCCCAAAGGAAATACTCTGGTGGCAAAATTCAATACACCCAGTAGTTTTTCCCAACCTTGCCAAGAAACCTCTTGCTTTACACAAAAAGGCTTCTACTTGGCTTATCACATGTTACCTTTGCTTCTGGTAGACTGACTGACTGCTGATTGGTGTCCCAATGGAGACCTAACCAATCCAATTTCTTACATGGTAGGAGATTTGATTTGACATGGTTTATCTTTTATCCTAGGTTTTGAAATAGTACTAGTGTACGTTGGGTCGCCCTTTGACAGTCTTCAAAAGAGTTTCCCACTATCAGCCAATCGTCTATATAAGCAAAAGTTCTTATGCCCTCCTTCGCAAGGATTTCCCTGGGGATGTTTGCCAGTTTTGTAAACACTTTTGGTGCAATTGTCAGGCCGAATGGCATCACTGTGAATTGATAACTTACAGCCCACACTGCGAACACAAGAAACTTTCTATACCTAGGAGCAACAGGCATCTTCGAGGTCCACTTTTGAGATCCAAACATTGGGCGGAAGTAGATGCCTCAGATGATTGTAAGTGAGCATCTTGAAACTTCATTTGGTAACGAACTTGTTCAGGACTGGGAACAGGCGAGACATGAAACACTTCTCTGACTGCAACAGTTCTATCACTCCTGTTTAACAGTTGAATTACAAATTCTGTGAGCAAGGGGGTTGGCTTCTGACCCCTTTTTGGTAACACTAGCAGAGGGCGCCTCAACCAAGTCCATGTGAGGCCCCCTTTGATTGTCTTGTATGCAGTGCGATCACTACCGACAACAACAACAGCCAAACACCAACTGAGCGTGCTATGGCTTGGACTCTGTACACCACGAGGCGGCCCAGCCCACGCCACGCCACGCTCTCGTATGGGACGTAAACGTTTAAGGACTGGAAAATACGTACGTAATTTGAAAAATTTTTGGTACGACTGTGGCTGTCATGTGTCCAGGTGGTCGTATGTCGAGTAGGTCGTAAGTCGAGGAGTACCTGTATTTAGTTTATATTTGATGTTTTGTTAATTCTATTACTGGTATACAGTACTGTACTTTGTATGTACTTTTTCTGTGAGTTGGAACCAATTACCCAATATCCTATTGAAATAATAGATTCGGTTAACAAAATTTTTGGTTAACGAACGACTCTGTGGAACGAATTGTGTTCGTTAACCGAGGGACCACTGTATACCCAAAATTACATTTTCAGCAATAACATTGCTCACAGCCAGGCATCACCCGCTCTGAGTGTGACTGGGTGGCGAATCGGTGACTCGACTGTACAATTCATGCCGTCTCCACAAATATTATTTCTCTTTATCACTCATTTAGCGATCTGTCCTTTAACAACCGTTTTTTCAGGAACACATCCCAATTGTTAAACAATGGATACCTGTACAGTTTTCCGCACGTCAGCGAGTTTGACTGATCGATGACCCAGGTTTTTTTATTAATATTTTCTGGAAGGAATTTAGCTTAGGTGTGACTCAGTACTGAAGAAATACCTATATTATCTACTGGTGGTTTGGTCAAATTATGGCACTGCATATACAGTACAGTACTGGAATAAAAGTGTTGCTACTCTATGTGTAGATAGTATTGCTAAGATATAGCTCAATTACTGTATCTGCAGGTTATACTTTTACTTTTATCCTCTTCACTGTTAGCAGCTTGGGCTATCGGTTATTTCTCTGTTACGCACTGTTGGCAAGTACTGGGCATGCACCGGCTCCTGAATGTATCTGAACCTGCACCAGTGCTTATCCAGTCTGGTCTTGAAAGAGCTCACAAGACCAAACTGGATAAGCACTGGAGCTGTATGACTAGGAGTATTGTGATAATTTTATTATTTGCAGATTGTGTGGCTAAAGGATGGTTCAGAGCTGTTGTTTGGGCATAACTTCCTTGGGAGGCAAAAGTATACATCTGAACAAACCCCTAACATGATGGCCTCTACTGTGCATATTGAGTCTGTATCCTTTATTGATAATGGCCATTATGTCTGCTACATTCCAGGGGCATCAAAAGATATTCTCATCAATATTGAAGGTCAGTGTGATGCATTGAAGATTTTAATATGAAAATGTTATCCTAACATGAAATGTAGATTCCAGCTGTTAGACATAATAATGTATTTATTTTGATACAGGAAAACAAAGCAAAAGGAACTAAAACACCATTAAACAGAATATAAAATTTTTTTTTTACTATTATTCTCCATTTTGGGTTTCACTTAACTTCTACTCATAAAGTCTCAAGCTGGGACAAAAATTATTAAATTTATTTCAAATCCAAGTACAGGGTAAGTGATTCATGGAAAATTACTACAAAATATTGTTCAGTCTTTTTGAATAACTTTTTAATTCCCAATTCAAAGATTGGTGGGTTATGGCATTCGTGCCTATGTTTGTCTGTGAAGGATCTTTTTGCATGTTTATTATTACAGTGGTCCCTCAGTTAACGAATGGTTCAGTTAACGAAATTTCGGTTAAGGAATTACCTTCGATAAGAATCTTCAATTCGGTTAACGAACAAAAATTTGATAAACGAAATCCCTACGAACATCACGTTTTGTTGTGAGCATCAGCTGGTCAGCTAATGGACTGGTCTGCCAATTCAGTAATCTGTTCTATGTTTACATTCGTTTTCAGTGGAGTAAATATCAAGAAAATTGTGCTCTTTAATATTTGTGCAAAATGAATACTAAAATTTTAGTTTAGTGCAAACTATTGCATGTTTACATTCAAATTAATCACTATCTTATAAGAATTCCAGCAATATAAATTATATTCTCCCCGGTCACTTCTATGAAATTTTATCAGAAAAAAACAAAAACTCAACTAAACGACATAAATTAACAAATAAATACTTCACTAGACCTTCGGCGCTAACTGTCAAACATGTCACTGTCACCCCTCCCTCCTTCCCAGCAAAGGTTTGGTGGTTATATAGTAGGCTTTAAGTTTTTATTTTATATAATATCACAGACTAAAGTTAGGAGAATATAATTTGCATTGCTGGAATCCTTGCAAGACAGTGAATAATTTGAATATAAACATCATATATTTTGCACAAGAGATAAAATTTTTAGTACATTAGTGTACAGTAGGTGGGACATTTTATAATGTAAAGTTTTTCAACTGTATTTTTGGGTAGATTTACATAAATTTCTTCATTTATTTTCATCCATTTACATGCACACACCATACTAAAAGAAATGTAAAAGAAATAAATGACCTTAGTGCAAACCTGGAGTGTACATGTACTAAATTGATTACGGTACTAAAATTGTTATGTCTAGTGCAAATTATAGCTTGTTTATATTCAAATTAATCACTATCTTACAAGAATCCCAGCAATGTAAATTATATTCTCCCAGGTCATTTCACTGGCTTTTTATAAAAGAGAAGCTTCCCGGTAGTCACTTAAGGACTGATAAATAAACACACATTAGACCTTGGACGCCAACTGTCAAACGTATCACTTCACCGCCCGCTCTCCCCCATCCCCCCACGCTCCCTCCCTCCCTCTCTCCATCTGCCCAGCCAGGGTTTTAGGCTTACAATTTTTATCTTATATAATATCTCAGACTAAAGTTAGGAGAATATAATTTGCATTGCTGGAATCCTTGCATAACAGCCAATAATTTGAATATAAACGTCATATATTTTGCACACGCGATAAAAATTAATCACCTGTATCCCATTACAGTAGTGATTATATATATATTAATACCCCGGTTTACTGCTCGTTTACGCGTTTCCACATTTACGCAGTACCCTGCCAGAACCGGAATGCCCAATTTACGCCAGCAACTACTCATATATATGCGGAAGCGGCGCGGGCAGGGTGCGCACAAGGTCGCCCAGTCATCAAAACATTAACGAGTTCTTCACCCGCCACCCACCACAGCCGGCCCAAGTCAGTGATAGTGATAATTATAGTGAGGATAGGACTTGTATGGACTTTGAGGGGTTTGACAAAGAGGCCCTGCCTTCTGTGGTGGATAGGTCATAATTGATACAGTGATGCAGGTGAGGGCCAATAATCTGCCCTCTGCCCGGAACCATGTGCCCAGCCATCTTTTCTACTAATGTAAGTGTTAAAAACCTAATAGTATTGATATTTCTCTAATTATTATTGTAGATACCATCATAAAATTAAGATGTTATTTTACTACAACGAGGAGTAGCCTGAAAGTGAGTTGGGAGTCGGCCCAGTCTCTATTTTCATAGCCTTGTTATATTCCATTTACGCCGCTTTCATTTTACGCTGCATGGGTTCAATTGACGCATAAATGGGTACTACTGTATATATATATATATATATATATATATATATATATATATATATATATATATAATATATATATATATATATATATATATATATATATATATATATATATAATATATATATATATATATATATATATATATATATATATATATATATATATATATATATAATATATATATATATATATATATATATATATATATATATATATATATATATATATATATATATATATATATACAGACACACAACAACAATAATAGTAGTACCATTTACGCGTCAATTGAACCCACAGGGTACCTGAAAGTGAAACCGCATAAATGGAACAACAGAACATATGGGATTAATCCAATAGAGACCGGCCCGAACCCCAAACTCCACTTTTGACTACACACAACTATGTAGTAAAAATTTTATCTTAACTTTATGATGGTATGCACAAACAAGTAATATAGAAGAGG